AACTGTATGAGGTCTATCGAAATAAGACAGCGCAAAGTCCTATCTATTACGAGAAAATGGAAATGTATGCCAGTTCATATTGCCAGCGGAGTCGCCACTGTGACCGCTAGATTCCGCCGATTCTGACGCTATAATAGATACGGTCTACTCGCCATTGAACAAATTAGTTGTCTACCGAGACCAAGCCTACACCGTGCTGAAGAGTCGTCAAATACCACGCTGTCTATGGCCAAAAAAACGAAAGCAATATTACTAGTTTGGTACATGAAGAGTAGACCGTATCTACTGTAGCGTTAGAATCGGCGGCACTTTGTGCTGTCTTATTTGGATATCAGCATATTGTTACTTATGAAGGTTTTAGGTTTAGGTTTCGGGTCTTTTCTCTCAAGTTGTTGAAATTGGTCATTGTTATCATGATAACAATTCATAATGATAATTTTTATTATTGATGGTTGCTTAAGTATTGACGCTTGGTATATGGATTGAAATATATTTACTGATTATGCCTAACTGAACCCTTCTGTTCTTTTGAGATAACTCAGTGAATAAGAGTAGTTTAAAAACAACTTTAGAAACATATAGCTGTTTTACTTTTTCATTATTATTAGCTTGATCTGTATGTATGTAAGTAACGCAATGTTTTAGACCTAATTTTCACCAATTTCACGATGTGATTAACTTTGCATAGGGGTCAAGGCATGATGACAATACAATAAATAATCATGGAAAATAATTCGAATTTTAAAGTATTCATTAGATCTTAAAAATTGGGGAAACATCACAAATTTAAATTCACCCAATACAATGTGTACTTCGATTTGCTATTAAAGTGTTTTTTTTACTTTTTTGAATTATAATTTATTTGTTTTGCAGGTATGTGTAATAATAAAATATTGAAATAACATTGCTTGTTGCTTCATACACTGGGACGACAACACTGCTTGAATCGAATCCATTTTCCTTTATTCCTTTGAATATACATATAAAACAGTCTATCAGCTCTGACCAAATCAGTTTTTCACGAGTAACTTTTGAACGCCACTGTAGGAGTCAAAAAAGTTTTGCAAGCTTGGTAACTAGTTGGAAACTCACATGACGTTGTTCATGGAAAACAATTAACTCATTTAGATCGCTAGGGATGAATTAACCCCCAACATTATGTATGTTAATTTTTTCACAACCTGTATTTTAATGACCCAACGATAACACTGCACTTTAAGATTTAGGTGAGACCTTTTGAGGAGCCGCTGCAGTCGTTGATTAACATATTCTCTACCTGAAGCCAAACATTTCGGCCTCCAAAAGGTATCCATGCCTCATGTATGAAAGTTTGTAATAGCCATGTTCTTCCTCTCCAAATTAATTGGAAATCTACTTTGAGGAGGTTGGTGTGTCGTAGATGGTGCTGCAGCCAACTGTATGAAAATCTTTAAAACTATTCCACTCTTATCTATACGACAGAAAGCAGTGTGTTGTGGTAGACGGGAGTGTATCCGATTTAGATAATTTTTTGTTTTTCATTGTTTGGTGCCCCAAAGTTCAATGTTGGACCCTTGCTTTTCTATAATAAACCTAAACGACTTATTCCATCATATGTCACGTCTTTGTAGCATCACCGATACGTGCAGAGCGTAATCTAGCTATGCTCGAATGATGAGCTACTGACAGTTTGGAAAATCGGACAAATGGTTCACTGCTAATTATCTAAAACTAAATGGAGACAATAGTGAAAATATGATCTTATCCACTACTAGATTTGTGACGATGGTTAGAAATGCTAGAGTCTCTGGAATAGTTTTAAATTATTCATTAAGTTGGGTTCATCACATTAACTGGATTCCTGTAAAACTAACCAAGCCTACTTTTCTTTTGCGGTAATTGAAATCACAGATCAACCTACAAGTATTAAAAAGTTGCTGCTTTAGGCTACTTCATTCACAGCTTATCTATGGAATAACATTATGGGGAAATTCTAGTAAAATAAATAAACTCTTCATTATTCAGAGGCAAGCCATTAGAACCATGACTGGCTTAGGCTATTACGATTCTTGTAGATATAACGTTGAGAATCTCGAAATAATGCCTGTTCCAACATTATTCTTATAACTTATGTCCTAAAAATTTTTGTCACAAAATGTTTATCGATTTTTTTCTATGAAGAAATTTATTTAAGCACCAACTAGATAGCTTAAATTACAACTCAAATCTTACTTACTAAACGATACTATCGAATTATTTGGAGTGACTCATTCTGCTCTAACTTTCTTCCAATGTCTGTTATGAGGTCCTGGAAGGAATTCAGATCAATTTCTCTCCGTTTTTCGTAAATTCGTCCTCTCAGTTGTTCTTCATCTTGGGCTTCCGAGCCTCTATGATAAACCTTCCTAGACAGTAAAGCCCCATTAAAAATTGCGCATCAGACAAGGATTATATCTGCAAATTCAAAGCTTAGAGCGGAAAACTTCAAAATCAATGAATATGAACTGACAGTAAAGAAAGTAAACAAACTTGTGTTGCCAGAATCAACTTGATATTATTTTGTGTTTGTTAAAATTAAAGTCAATGAATTTTGTGTCAAAACTTTTAGGACATATGCTATGCCACTTCAAAACAGTATTTCTCACGTTTAAATTTGTAAAATCAGCTAAGCAGTTAAGACATACTTTAAAAAAGTTCATGACTGAACATTGTTTTTTTTATAAGTGAATATATTGATTCAAAATGTTAGCCAAAGACATATGCTTACTGTGTTTTTATATCTATTTTATTTCTATGTTGTTACCTGTACCTCTATGTTTTACTTTCTACGCCACTGGGCGAGGAAGTACGAGGGATGTCTTTTAAGTTTTGCATATGGAAATAAAACAACACGGTTGGTAGTTTTAAATGACTTTGTTTTTGGAAGTATTCTCCACGATTCATACACATCTGCACGCGCTCGAACCAATTTTCGAAGCACTTATTGCACTCGTTTGCTGGCGTCAACTGCTTCTTCTGGTGACTGGAACCTTTGACCACCTAGTCTGTTTTTAATTTTCGGGAAAGTAAAGAAATCGTTAGTACTATATGGAGGATGGTCCGATAATTCCACGTTTTCTTCCGTTAAATACTGCCTTGTTTTTTGGGCTGTGTGCGAGCTTGCATTGTCTTGGTGGAGGAAGATTCTTCTTTCGGGGTTGATTTTTCGAAGCTCGGTGATGACTTTTGGCAAACAAATGGTGGTATACCAATTCGCAGTAACAGTTCTTTGCTCATTAAGAGGAATTGTTGCAATATGACCCGCTTTTGACACAAATATCGCGACCATCTTTTTCGAACCACTTCGAGAACGGATGACTTTTGTTGGCCTTTCTTCACCTTGGAACACCCAAACAGCCGACTGTCGTTTATTTTCTGGTTCATAACAGCAAATCCACGATTCATCACCACTAACAATGCTGTACACATTTTTTGAGTTTCCGGAACTGAAACGGTCAAGCGTTTTTTGACACCAATTAACCCTGGCTGCTTTCTGCTCTTCAGTCAACAACACGAGAAACTAATTTACTCCTAATTCTACATGTAAAATTTTTGGATTGAGGTCTTTGAGATCTTCAAGGGCGCCTCAATCTCGCGATATGTCACATGTCTATCTTCAATGATGAGTTTGCGCACAGCATCGACGTTTTCCTGGGTGACTGCCGTTTTTGGTGCACCCACCCTGGAATCGTCTCTAAGACTCACCCGTCCACGTTTGAATTCTCCATACCAACGGGAAATTGTCGACTGATGTGGCGCTTCGTTGCCGAAAACAGACAGTAACTCAGCAAGGCATTCTTGTTGCGATAATTGTCTCTGAAGGTTGTAATAAATTATGGCGCGAAAATGTTCTCGGTTGAGTTCCATTTCTCTGACTTGGTGACACTTAAAAATTCACTGTAGTGAGAAAACTGCACGTATTGTTGTGAAACTTTGAATTTAAGTTTACTAAATAGTGAGGTTAAAATTCAGTACTGACTTTCGGTCCGCGCGGCCTACTATGTTTCTATATGCAAAACTTAAAAGATATCCCTCGTATTGTAATCGCGAAGAATTTGGAAAATGAGATATTATATTTGTTGGATGTTGAATGGCGAAACGAAAAACCTTGTCACTTAAGAAAAACCTGTTTTCACTAGTGTCATTTTAGGACCTGTATTTCCGTATCAGGGCCCTGCAGGACATACTTCTACTTGAACTTGGAGCATTATTTTTTGTATTCTATATAGTAAGTATGTACGCTTTATATCTTATACTCATTAATATATAGTACACTACTAAGGTTCCGACAACAACTGATAGAGGGCAAAGATGTTTGAAAGTAGAAGTAGTAAGTTATACCATCGAAATGGGGATCTGACTGTGTCATTTTATTTGTCATAATAGTGTTTTCAGCTGGAAAACGTAAGAATTACGAATGTTCTGAATGTGGAAAATCTTATACTACTAGGAACAGCTTAAAACGGCACAGAAGAGCAGTATAACATTTGCAGCCACATATTTTTATAAACAGGAACAATATAAACATTCGAAGATAAACCGTATAGATAGCTTGTTGTGAAAAGTAGTATCATATTGAAAAGATGTGATCGGAGCTTATAATTTCATAAATAAAGTTGATAACTTTTGAGGCTTTTCCGCAGGTCAATTCAACGTTCGAAGCTACTAGATGCGGCATGGCCTGTTTGAGGTTTGACGTGATATACTTTATTTGAACATTATTTTTAACATGTTTTCCGTAATCACGGCGCGTCAAACGTATTTCTCAAGCAGTACCACTTTGCTCCTTAACACAAATAGTTATTATTAGTTATTATTTATTTGCTAGTAGTTATAAAGATGTTCTGCCTGACGTAGTAAAAAGGTTACGAAGCATGATATGCTTAAAGTAGGATGTGTAGCTTGCCTGAATTCTTTCAAAGGTACGTCTGCTACTGTAGAATGAAAAGCGCTTGTTTCAATAAAAAAATATATTTTTAGTCGTCAAACTCAGACCATACAAATGCAACAGGTGCAGCAAAGCTTATACAATGAAAGGCAACCTAAGAAGACATCAAAAAGTCGAATGCGGAAAAGAAAAGTGTTTGAAATGCATAGTATGTCCGAGCAGATTCTACTATAAGCAAGAAGTCATCAAGCATATGAGAATGAGACATGGCATTCACATGGAATGAATCTCTACAGTGTTTTGATATCCTTTGTGAAAAACATACAAAATCGTAACAAGGATCGATACTTTCTTTGAATTTTTGAATTTATCATACACAGTATGATCGTACAATACTGCAAAGAAGCATTTGTTTTAGGTTTATAAAAATATATGAACTCTAGATCTTCTCAAGTGCAGTAAAATAGCATAGCATGAAATCTGAATCAAACAACCTTTTTTAAACATATTTTAATTTCCAAGTAATTAAAATGTATCAGATTTAGAATGCATAGCATAACATCAGCTTAAGAGGGCTTTATAAAACATCCAAATACCTATGTATATTTATATAATCTTATGACTATGAAGACCTCACTGCAAGTCTGAGTAGTTTCATGTTGAGCTGGAGATGCTACATCAGAATGCCTTTTCATACATGAGGTCAAGTAGTCATGACCATTACTACTGTAACGTCCAAAAACGTGGCAGAATGCAGTACACGTGATAGCAACATCCCTTTGTTATGCCTGAATTTTATTTCAAAAATGCCTATTTATCAAAGATTTGGGGCGTTCATGTAGAATTAAGACGTACACATTTCTAATGACTAATGACCGCGTGACCTTATGCATCAAAATGAATTCTGATAGATACCGAATCTCGAGCTCAACACGAATTTGTTTTTAAAAATTGACCTCATCAATATCTGAGGTCATCGAAAAATTGCTTATTTGACACCCTGAAACTTTTCTTAAAACCTTTTTCCAGCAAATTCGTGGTTGGTAAGTTTTCGGGGTGTTTGTGTATATAATAGATTGGGTAATATTATCTTATACATACGTATATAATCAGTTATCTTATGTTTTGTACTGAACTACAATCGAAAAAATAAATGTATTGTGTTGAAATGTAACTTTCGTGCTGACACAAAAAAAACAGAAAGTGTTTTGACTAACGCCACCTAATGCTCAGTTTTGTCGCAAATATCGATTTCAACTGCTTTTAAACACACGTTCATCGTAACTGTTCGAATATGTTTGTGTTTATTAAACAAATTTTAGGTCAACCACCGTTCTATGTCACAAAAGATGGCAACCAAGAATTCTACTCTTGCACCTTTTGTCATCTGAAGTACCGTCATCAACCTTCAGTTTACAGGCACTTGAGGAAGAAATGCTTGAATCGCCAGGACTCGCCGTTTATTGTGTAGTGACAGCTTGTTCTGCATAATGGTCCACCTGTTATACTGTACCTACTTAAAATGTATGCACTCGCAACTGTATTCCTGGAGAATGCACCTAATTTTAATTGTGTTATGTTTTAAAGTCTTGTCAGTATCAGGGATATCGAGAAAAAATTTGGTTTGACTGATAGTATTAGAAGTTATTGATACATAATAATGGAATGTTTGTCTATATCAGTGTGTCCTGACCGAATTTCATTCTGATTAAAAGGCTTTATAAAATTTAGATGTAGTTTTAAGTTGTGATCGTTATTCCTCTCATGGCTATAACTCATTTTTTTGTTGCTTACCAAGTCAGTAGATTTTAATATTCGACTTTGGCAACACTAGACTTTGTTCTAGGTCTAGGAACACTATCGTACGTCAAACAGTTTTTCAAGATGGGGGCATAGTATGCTTCTGAACCCAGTTTGTTTCATATTTACTTTACGCGTAGCATGTCTTGGTTGGATAGGATTTATTATAAATCCAATAGTTTAATGGTTCGAAACAGTCATAACCACAGACCCAATGCTACCATGGTCGTGGATTCTGTTTATATCAGTGACAAATTACCACAGTTCGAGCACAGCGAAGCTAAAGAATAATTTGATTGATATATTAAAAGAAAATAGGATGAAACGGAAATCTTGATAGCAATTCAGTTCATTTTTTTTTCTTTCAACTGAAAATAGCAATGACGCTACATCGCACGTTTTTAGAATGTCTTCAAGCTATATTAACCAACTTTATTTTCAGTTCTCCCGCGTCTGGACTGTCAAAATTGCGGTAGAAAGTATATTTCCATACCGGCTCTAAAGAGGCATGTTAACTACGAATGCGGAAGGATACCAACGTTTTCCTGTCCTGTTTGTAATAAACTCTTCAAAAGAAAAGACAGTATGGAAAGGCACTGTTTCCTGCTTCATAAGCACGTGGTTCCATCTACGCGGAAGAGGCATTGATATACCTATGCTGAAGTTTATGTATAGAGGGTGATCTGGAAGTTGGGACTTCACTGCGTTTGAAATAATAAAGCTAATCTTCTGTAATAGCAGAAAAAGGCGAAAATGGAAAAAAATTAGCACTGTTTATTTAAAGTTTCAAATGGTGTATGAAGTTGACGCCGTTCGATCAAAAAACAAGATTATTATGAGCTACCTCATCTTGCAATATTCCATTAGTCAGTGTCGCATGCGAGACAGTTGGAGTGTCGCTCGAACTCATAAAATGGTTTCTTAAATCTCGCAATCGACATTTGCATGCGACAATAACTCCCGAAGCTAAGACGAATGTCACACTATCAGTATTTACTGTGGTCCGTACCATCAGTGTCTTAGTGATTATTCCACCAGCCGGTGGATTTATACGTCACCTTATGCATCAATAATTGTTGACGTCCCAGCTACACGGTCAATCATGATAAATATTGACAGATCATAGTTTATACTGATTGCTGTGCCTTTCCCCTAAGACCATGCGGCAATGAATCATGTGTTCCAGGTTTATTATTATTTAGTCTTACTTCCACGCATAAAGTGTCCACAGAATTCTTATAGAAAGTACCTAGACTGACCTAGACTGTTTTTGTGCCACCAGAAATTTCTTTATGCGTGGAAAAAACAAATTAAAAATACTTGATGCTGTTTTTTAGGACAACAAAATTTAGATATGGATAAATAACAAAGGCATTGCTTCTATAAGTCTTTCTCTTTCACTGTCTCAATAATGTTCAAATGAATGCAGGTATGTAATGATCACAGAAGATATACTCAGTGACATTCTTTCAACTTGATTTTTTGGCAATGAGGTAGTCTTGCATCAAGAATGAAACGATAACATTCTCACGAAGTTTTATTGAAAAAAAAAATTAATATTGTCTTGGGCGACCCCGCAACTGAATACACTCATGTATACGTCTATTCATCGACAAAATTAGATGATCGATGTCTGGTTGCGGTACCTCATTCCAAGCAACTCGAACTTCGTGGATTAGTCTGTGGCGGATGGTATAAAGTGGATAGTCTTCTCCCCGTAACATCCCACACATGTTCGATGGGATTTAAATCTGGTGAACGGAGTGTCCACGGCATAACATTAACGCCCACTCCTTGAAGAAAGTCCCTAGTACGACGAGCAATATGGGGACGTGCGTTGTCTTGTTGAACGGACCTCTGTATACGGAATTAAAGTGGTTTGTAGCACATCATCAACATAACGCGCAGCTGTCATATTACCTTGAACAAAGAGTTCGGCTACCATTACTCCAACTGTCCTGTGTACGTGCCTCTCAACAGCAAATCTAATATCACGCCATTCTCCATCTTACCCTTCTATGAATATCGTGCGTACCTAGACATAATCGCGATTCTACTTCAGATCAAACTTTGACAGCGGCGGTCTACAGTCAGAGGAAGCACTAATCGTGGACGGTATGAAAAAAATCCAAAAACTCGAGTGCGGCGATAGAGTGTACGTATAGTAACAGGTCTACCTTCTTTCTTCAAACCATTGGTCAGCGATCTGACGCGTAGTACCAAAACGGTTTCGTAGGGCTAGTTGTCTGAAGCGCCTATCTTGAGGCTCTCTGGCATGCCTCAGTGGACCGGTGGGCCTTCTTTGTGTTCCTCTGCCTTCTTCTATTCATACACGACACATACGCATTACCGTCATTGCAGTACAATTAACACGGCGGCCAATTTCGCGATAGGACAAACCAACATCTCGATAGGCTTTAATTCTACCCCTGTCAAGTCGCTAACATGGTGATAATTTGGGCATCTTCGATCTCGAGGCATTTTGTTAAGCTTAATACTAATAAATGAAAGGCAAATAACCAAAAATATCTGAACTACTCCGCTTTCAGAAACTGTTTTTTTCACAAAAACTAAGAGATAACATTTTAACAAAGGTAAACAAAAACTAAGATAAAAAGTTGACATTGTTGCCATGTCATGCTTTAAATATAGTCATTATGTTACAAAAAAAACAGTTGAAGATGTTGGTTTTTCTGGGTGTAACACTTCACTGAGTATATTTATATGGATCGGTGGCGGTTAACTATTATACAAAGCTGCATCTGTCGCGTTGTCCTTCGGATTGCTAGGCAACGTGATGCTTCTATTTCCTCCTAACGTACGTATTGCATGCTTCTCGCGCTTCTCTCTGGTACATGAGTGGTATGTGGATTTCTCTAAAAATATAAAAATTGTTAAAGAAATATGTTTCTCGTGTATAATAAAAAGTAGGTATCTGGTGATATTGTAGTATTGCTTTCTGCACCTGTTTTTTCTTTCATTCCTTTCATTACGAACACCATCAATATACTATTACGCTAAAACAATAATTTTTGCCTACGGCTCCGAGAGTCACCAGCGCAGGTACCACATAACTGATTATGCTATGCAATTTCAAGATATACAGGGTCCCGAAAAAAGTGTGCAATATTCTACCAGCGGTTTCTAGAGCTTGAAATAGGAAGAAAAGTTTTTATAAACATAGGTCGATAAACGTCCCCTAAGGGCGCTACGCTCTTTTAAAGGGGCTCCCCTGAAGATGGTTTTTCCTTAATATTTCCGAAACGTGTTGAGATAAAGACATAAAATTTGGTATTCTAGCCTACTTTTTTATGCTGGATTTAAAAATGTTAACAATTTTAGACAGTTTTGTTTGAAAGCGTATGAAACAGGGACGGACTAAGGTTATTTTAGCCCCAAAATTTTTGTGCGATTCTATTTTTAAAATTCAATTTTAGAATTTGAAAATTTAGGGTTTTCTACATAAAAAAGCTACTCTTATTGAATATCGATAAATTGTGCCATTTTTGAATAACATCAAACTAAAAAATTTGTCACATGATAGGAAATGTACTGCGAATTTAAATGAATTGTTGATTATACATAGTTAGCCACGAAGTTGTTTTGATTTGTTATGACTTATTTTGCCGTTAAGCTGACATTGTTAGCAGTGCAAAATTACTAGATTAAAACCAAATTGTTATTAAATCGATTTAAAATGCCAAGATTTACAGACAGAGAACTGACTGACATGCAGGTCGGATGAGTCAATATTTACTAGGAATGATGCTTTTAATTTGAATAACATGCATCACTGGTCAGATGAAAATCCAAAACTTGTTCGCCGTACAAATTTCCAACATAGATTTTCATTGAACTTATGGGCAGGAGTAATTCTGGATCAAGTAATTGGGCCTATTGTACTTCCCAATCGTCTTAATTCAGCTGTTTCAAGAAAATATGTTTTTTCAACATGATGGCACCCCTGCACATTTTGGACGCAAGGTTCGAAATTGGTTGAATGTCAATTTTTCAGACAGGTGGTTAGGTCGATGAGGTCCTATAGCATGGCCGCCACGTTCACCTGACCTATATTCACTGGATTTCTATTTTTGGGGGTCATTAAAAGACCTAGTTTACTCGACTGAAGTAAATACTCAAGAAGATTTACTTCAAACAATCCATCACGCTGCAAATGAAATAAGAAGAAAAAGGTTTTCCACTTTTCGGGCTACGCAATCATTAGTTCGTCGAGCGAGACTCTGTATCCAACAAAATGGGAATTTATTTGAACACTTATTGCAAAGCTAGTTTTAAGAATATCCAACTATATGTCTTCTTTTTTAAGCAAATTTCAATTTCGTTCGTAGAAAAAAATTATTTCTTTTGTTTTTGACTAAATGTTAGCTATGTTGCAATAGAAATATGTATTCATGTAATATTTACCAATTATTAGATTAGTTTTTTCGTTGCCATGGCTAATTTTCAACAATTCATTTAAATTCGCAGTACATTTCCTATCATGTGACAAATTTTTTAGTTTGATTTTATTCAAAAATGGCACAATTTATCGATATTCAATAAAAGTACCTTGTTTATGTAGAAAACCCTAAATTTTCAGATTATAAAATTGAATTTCAAAAATGTTGGGGTTAAAATAACCTGAGACCGTCCCTGTTACATATGCTTCCAAACAAAACAGTCTAAAATTGTTAATATTTTTAAATCCAGCATAAAAAACTAGGCTAGAATACCAAATTTTATGTCTTTATCTCAACACGTTTCGGAAATATTAAGGAAAAACCATCTTCAGGGGAGCCCCTTTAAAAGACCGTAGCGCCCTTAGGAGATGTCTGTCGACCTATGTTTATATAAACTTTTCTTCTTATTTTAAGCTCTAGAAACCGCTGGTAGAATATTGCACACTTTTTTCGGG